TGATAGTGTAATAACCTAAAATTTTGAAAATAATTTTAAAATAAAACTTTTAAGTTTAAAAATTCTGAACTAGAGCGCTGCAATGCTGCACATTTGGGTGCAATGGTGCTATGGGGAGAAGCACTTAGGCATTAGCTTTTAGCATGGTGGGCCAATACATTTTGGTTTACAAAAAATCTAGAATTGCATGCAACATAGTAACACTAGGTAGTTTGGGAGACACGATGTTAAACTCTAAAATGAGTTTTTATATATTTTAATATAAATATCTCTACCATTCACTCCCTCTACACTCCTGCACCATTTTCTTGGTCGAGAATAAATAAAAGAAGGAGAAGAGAAGAGAGAAGAAGAGGAGAGAGAGAAAGTTTCTTTCGGTTATTTTTTTCTGCCATTCCTATTATAGATTTTTTCTAATTAAAGTAAGTGGCTACATTCTTACTACTATTTTTTTATGATTTTGATCTCCATGGATTAAATCTTCCTAAGATTGACAAAAAATATATTTTCTCCTAATTTATCAACCTTTCATCATGTTATTTTTTGTGATAGATATGGATTATGTCAGTATTTTTCGCTAAAATATTATTGAATCAAGTTGGGTAAAATAGAAATTATATGTTTTTGAAGCTATTTGGTAGTATACATTTTTTTTTTTTGTATTTTATAGATTCTTGCATTTCATGCATTAAAGAGAGATTGATACAATTGATATAAGAAAATATGGCATTTATATGTGTAAAAACAAAGTTGGTTATTAGCACTATAACTAATATAGGTTGGGTCTTAAAATATAGTACCTTATACATAAGGGTAAGTCGACGAGTTTTTCTTTAAATAAAAATGTTTATGGGGTAATCCTTGGTATAACCTATAATTGATTAATCAAATTACACTAAAGAGTAGAATTGATTAATCGAATTACACTGGAGAGTAGAGGGTGATGAATCTTAAATAATTATTGAAAGCCACATGTGAATTGACTTAAGATAATGAATAATGGCTAATTACTAATTGGATGACATTTGGTTTTAAATTAAAGACTAATAACTGACTGTGATGGTTAGAGTTGAAGGATTAAAATACCAGATTAAAGTTGGATGTCTTATCTTACTCTTCATTATTATATTCATGAATGCATTTACATGATAGTACATTAAACTAATTGATGGATAGAATTATTAAATTGATTGATAGATAAAATTGAAGTCATGTTGATTGAATAAGCATTGATATTTATACAACATAGCATAATATGTCCATTCATTGATCATCATTTTTATTGATTTTTTTATAGTTTGATAGATCTCTTTTGACTTTTTTTATTTTGCTGATTTTACTATTGATCGATGCGGATTTTATAGATTTTTATTGATTATATTGATAGACTATTGCTTTTTTTATTGATATTGACTAGAACTAGAGCATGCATATTATTTCTTTTACCTTGTATTAAATACGATGATAAATATTGGTTACTTGCTGGTCTATATGCTTTCAGGTAAAGAGCCTGTAACATAAGGCTAGGCAGCATTGATAGTTTAGTTTTATTTTTAATCATATGGCTTTATGTATTCTTTTATAACCTATAATAGCTCTATGTATATTATTTTAGGAATTAAGACCTTAAAGTACAGTTTAAATATTGACCATGGTAATATAATTTTTTATTCCACTATTTATATTTATTTGTATTTTCCTTGATATTATTAGTAAGCTCTCGTTGGTGATGAATTGGTTATAAATAAATATTTGATGCTAATTGAATTGTAAGGAGAATGAAGAATGGATAAAGATAAAAGAGACAAAATCCTTCCACTTTAGATCATGCGGCATGACAAATAGCTACATTGATAATTTATCATTGATATATCACCAAAAATCAGCTAGATCGAGCCCAAATCATGAGGCATATTTAAGTTGAAAATTTCTAAAATTAAATTTAGGACCATCCAAACACATATTTTAGAAAACTTAAGGTTAAATTGAATGTCTAGATGAGATGAACCCAACGACACCAAAATCAGTTCAATCTGAGCCTATATAGGCCCAAATTAAGGGGCCGAAGCATATATGGAAGGTCTAAAGCATTAATTGGATGACTAAATGATATCCAAATATGACATGCTTATAGTCAAATCGAGTGGCTTGATGAGTTAAATCCAATGAGCCCAAAATTGTTTAATTTTAACATCATCATGGCACTTAAATCTTGAACGAATGCTCAATAATTGAGTGAATTGATATGGGCCATCTGATATAGCACTCTAAGTTTCACTGGATCTTTTTCATATTTATAGAACATGTCACTCTCAAAATCTCTAAATAGACCCCCATTCTCTACATAAAGGGGGACTTTAGAAAGCTTGGACCCCATGCAAGAGACTCAAGAAAGCTTTGATGCTTGAAGAGTCCCAAAGCTCCACCCAGGCACCACCATCGGTGAACCCTCACTACCTGGCCACTACAGCTAGACCTCCGCCTGATCATCACCATCGGACCTTTGTCCAACTACCATAATCGGGTCTCCGCTAGACCTCTATTACTTACATACTATAGTCCATTAAATCTTAGTCGTCTGACTACAGTCCTTTTAACCTTTTTTGGCCCATAAACTATGGTCCTGCAACCTCAGTCACCATACTACTGTTCGTCCGGCCTCCATAGCCTAATTATAGTCCTTCCAACCTCTATTGCCAGTCGATTACGATTCATCTGTTTACTATCTTTAGCCGACTACGGTCCTTCTGACATCTGTCACCTGATAACAATCCCATTGACCTCAGTCACTTAACTACCATCTCTCCAACCTCTTTCGCCTGCGACTATGGTCCCTCCTACCTCCGTCTCCCATCGAATACCATCCCTCCGACCTCTGTGGCCCATCAATTTTGGTCCCTCTAACCTTTGTCATCTGACAATGGTCCCTTTGACTTTAGTCACCTGATTATGATCACTCTGAACATCATTGCCTGCAAACTATTCTACCTTTGACCTCTCTCACCCGACAACGGTCCCCTCGACCTCAGTCATTCGACTACGGTCTCTCCGACCTCTATTGCCCGAAAATAGTCCCTCTGACCGCCCTCTGATCTATGTTGCCCGCCAACTATGACCCTCTGATCTTTGTCGCCCAACTACGATTCTACCGACCAAATGAACAAATCAACGTTCTCTTGATAACAATTCTCATACAATTGAACTATTCCAACTCCAAACATGATGTATATTTACATGTTGTGTCAACACTTTCTCCTGTAGAAAGACGTCATTTAAACCAATAACTTACACTAGAGGAATCATTTTAATTAGGTAAGGCCTCATAGTTTTTTTCCTTTTTAGGATTTTCACATAAAAATTCGGATATCTCTTATAACTCTTACACCCCTCTTTTTTATTTGTGTGTATGCTAGATCTTCGTACAAAATTATAATGATAAATCCTGTGTCTCTTTACCACCACAATGTTCCAACATAAAACAATCATAAAATTTGTTCAAATATGTAAGGTCATAAGTCTTTTTTTAGATTTATTTTTGGGTGGGTCATTCATAGAATTTTAACATTTATGTTATTTTTTTCTTTATGAATGAGCATTATTCTTCAATGCCTTAAATATAAATATTTTTTAAATTATTTTTAATTAATGATATTACTCTCAACTAAAAAAAAATCAATTTATCTGCTAAATGAACGTGGCCACTTGGCAGTTGTGCATTCCTCGTAATATGCGACAAAAACTTCAGTTGCTCGGTCAATTCATGGTACCTGGGGTCATCCCTAATCACACGAATCTTGAATTAAATCCAAAGGCCATCAACTCACTTCTGAGTAATCGTTGCACAAGTTTTTTTTTAAAGTACTTTTAAATCAATTAATTAAGAAAAATTTATATATACATAACATATATGTGATTTAAACTCAAAATATTTTATTTAATAATAAAGCTTCTAACCAACCAATCAAAATTTATATATACATAACCAACCAATCAAAATTAGCTGTGTTGCTTGCATATGTACTTTCGTCTGGTTGATTAATTATTTTGTTCGAATGCCAAATATCGTCCTGAGACCAAATAGAATGCTCCACATTAGCTCTTACTCGGTACCCGACTCGATACTACTCAGTATAGCTTGATATCACGACTAGATACTATTAATGTGACGCATTCTAATTGACCTTGATATTGGATTCTATGTCGGATGTGCGCACAAAATAATTTTTGTGTGGCTTCGTGAGAAAGAGAAATTATTAGGTGTGGAGTGCGTCCGGATACCAATAAAAATGTGTCACGTCATCTCATTGGTGGGTAACCAGCTCGGTACTCACATTCGATACTGCTGGATACCACTAGGTACCCAATGCTTATACGGACGATACTTCCGTCCGCATTTCGCACCTAATAATTTCTCCTTCGTGAGGCTGACCTTCCATTATGGGAAGATAAAAATAGTTTTAGCACCTAACCGAGATTCTTAACCACTCACTCCATTAGGCATGGGCCCACTCATGTCTATTGAGATTGGCGAGTGCCAAATGGCGGCAATCCCGATGGCAATCCCGCATATATATATATAACTTAAAATAACATGACACGTCAGCGAGCACTAAAATTAGTTGTACGGATGTCAGGGCCATCGTAGAACCATTTCTTCTCTCTCCTGTCTTCCCCCTTCGTCGTATGTCACCCTTCAGGGATCAGCGGTGAGGTCGTGGGGAGGATAGCGGGAGACAGAAAAGTTGCCAGAGTTTTATCTGCCAGGCGCTTTCGCTATCGTTACTGAAACTTTCGATTTTTTGATTCGGTGATCAAGCACAATAGCCGTTCGCTTCGGGGGAACAATAAGGAATCAATCTGCGTCGTAGGTTTGTTCCCAATCAGATCTTTCTTAATCGATTGGGATTTTATTCAATTATGCATTAATTTTAGCAATTTATGGATTTTGAGGCTTTTAATTAAATGCGTTTCCTTATGGGTAGTTCGCTCCAATTTGCAGCTTTCTAGGTTTTTAAATGTTTATTGCTCTGGATGAGTTTGTTCAACCTAGATTTTGGGAGAGGTTATTTCACCGGGGTTGGAAGGGATTTTGATCAACGCCGTGGTATATGATTATTCGCAATTTGTTATTGGGCGCACGGAAGTGTTGATTTTGAAATCGAAGAAAGATGAATGTGTCGAAGAGCAAGATGGGCGAGGAGCACGGGGATTTCTACTCTGTGTCGCCGAAGATGGATTGGAGGATTAGGTTGTTAAGAATAATCTGGGGTTTGGTGATATTCATGGGAGGAGCTTTTCTGGGCTTGTCGGTAACTTCCCGGTATAATCAATACTTGACTACGCAAACTAATGATCTTTTCTTTCCGACGAAGATGTTCACTACAAATTGTGATATGCAGAGGTTAAGTATAAAGAGTTTTGTTCATCCCATGCATCTTTTTCATGATTTAACTGATGAAGAGCTATTCTGGAGGGCAACCTTGGTGCCAAAGATTGAAGAATATCCATACAAGAGAGTGCCCAAGGTGGCTTTCATGTTCCTTACACGTGGACCGCTTCCGTTTGCTCCCCTTTGGGATAGGTTCTTTAGAGGACATGAACGCTTCTACTCTGTTTATGTGCATTCTATTCCAAACTACAAGCTCAATGTCTCAGAAACTTCAGCATTCTATGAGCGCCAAATCCCTAGTAAGGTACATTCTATCTAATTCATTCTTGGTGTACGTGTTGCATTTAATTTTAGATTTTCATTAAGAAGTCATAAAACAGAGAACTTTAATTGTTTTGTTTGTCCTATAAACCGCCATGAGAACTTCAGGGTTTTATGTGTGGATGTAGTTTTATGCTCAGAATATAAATCCTTTTTAACAAGCGGCTGCAGTCCCACATCTGAAACTCTAAGGCTTCGTTTGGTTATTCTGTATTTTTTCTAAAAGGTAGTTTTAGAACTATTGTTTGAGAGAATGAAGTTTTCTAACGGAGAAGTTTATATCATAAATCTTTTGAAAGCAGTACAAAAATACAGTTCTCTAAAAAAACATTTCTTCTAAAGTGGCACTTACAAATAACAGCCAAAAAAAAGTTTTGCCATTTCGAAATGGAAAAGACGAAATTAAGCAATCTCAAACGAGGCCTAAATGCTTACCCAATACATTTTTTCTCATTTGTCCCCTTTTAATGATACTTGAACTTGTCGTGGAAATAAAATGAATTGGTTGGGATAAACAATGCAATAGATTTGGGGTTAAGTTAACCATATTTTAATCTCTTCCATCTTTTTTTCAGTTCTTGCATTCATTTACAACACTATACCTTTTTTAATTTTGTATATAATCATACCACAATTACATCATATCAAAATTGCAGTGCACTTTTTTGTCTGTCTTGTGTCACGTGGATCTTTCTGCATTTGTTTATTCTAATTCATTTTATATTTTCTTTTGTTTGAGCTCCTTTGCCAGTCTCATGTAACTACCGCCATTTATGTAAAAAAAGGTTACTTAGAATGAGCAGTGCCAGTTGTTTACCTTTACGCTTCAAGAACAAGCTCATGCTAATGAATTGAACCTCTGTTTATGCTTATGATTGTACTAATGAATTATCATTCAAGGTTGAGGTAACAAAGCTGAAGTGCAACTTCATTGTTTTCAGAACAACGAATAAGCTTATATTTGATCTTTCCAGATTATTCTGCCCACTTGAAAGTTAAAAACACAATATATCCATCTTTTCAGAAATAAAATTACCAGACACATTGAGGATTTGGACAAATTTGAAATTTGAAGATTTTCATTAATATTTTTATAATGGGAGCATTTTTGTGATGGTAATGGTTTTCAAATGCTTTCTTTTAACTTATAGGAGGTTTCATGGGGATCGATTTCACTTGTGGATTCAGAAAAGAGACTTTTGGCCAATGCTTTATTGGATTTCTCCAATGAACGGTTTGTTCTTCTCTCAGAAAGCTGCATCCCTGTTTATGATTTTCCCACAGTCTACAAGTACCTTATCAGTTCCAAGCATAGTTTTGTCGAGTCCTACGATGAAGATTCGCCCCGTGGACGTGGTCGTTACAACCGTCACATGTACCCTAATATCAAGCTCAGCAAGTGGAGGAAAGGATCCCAGTGGTTCGAGCTTAACCGGGAGTTAGCTGTGAAAATAGTTGCAGATTACAATTACTATGCCATATTTAGAAGATACTGCAAGCCCTCTTGCTACCCGGACGAGCATTACATCCCGACGTACTTGAACATGTTCCATGGAGAATTGAATGCTAACCGGACTGTAACTTGGGTCGATTGGTCAAGAGATGGGCCTCACCCTGCCACATATGGCAAAGAAAATATCACAATGAAATTCATCCAATCAATTAGAAATAATGGAACCATCTGCACATACAACAATGAGCCAACTACTCTCTGCTATCTCTTTGCGAGAAAATTTGCTCCCAATGCATTAGAACCTCTACTAAACATGACTTCAGAAGGGATGAAATTTTGAATTCTAGTGCCTTTGGCTTTCAGAGCTCCATTTTTGCCCTCCTATTGTGCTTGGGTGAGGAGAGTAACTTGTCTGCTTTACCTATTTTTTTGAGAAGGAGGTGGCGGTCATAGGAAGTTTGGTGGAAAATTCACCAAAAATCTTTTCTCCCAAGCAGTCTCTTGTTATCGAAGGAGTTATACTTTGACAGAGCTAACATTTATAGCAACAGCAGTGCAGAAAGTGTATACTCAGCATTGGCGATTCCATATTTGGTTGAATACAAAGTAAAACATTATTTCCCTGATATTGTACGAATAGACATTCTGTTTGCAATGTGTTTGATCATTTTTCCGATTATACGGTCTTCCATGATGAAGGGAAGAACAAAGAGGACTATAACAATGCCATTAAAATGGGTTTACAGCTCGTAACCAGAAACATACAGGCTTCGTTTGGTTTCCCCCGATGTTATTTTCATTCTTAAATGGAGGTATTACAACCGAGAAGCATAATTTTTTTTCTTCTCAAATCAGCAAAACTTCGAAGTTATACCAAAAGGTCTTTTGAAAAAGTGACGTAAACAAACATTAAAATACTAACTTTTCACCGATTGAAATCATAAACGGAAAAATTTACGGACAATCAGACGAAGCCACGGACGATAAGATAAGCAACGCAATATGGTTATGGAAAGTGGAAATTGAGTCGGAAAAGAGGGTGGGTGGAAGGGACACGAAGGAACTCTTGTGCAGATCATGAGTCCATCTAACAGTTGGTAGTATATGAATATTTAAGGCTAATGTGCTGTAAGGTTGAACCCCATCCTCATAACTAATCAGTACTAGCACGAGGTAGAAAGACAAAATTCGCCGATTTGGCCTAGGTTTAGGCCCCATGTTGGTGATTGAATTATACTTGGGCTTCATTTGGGACGGTTTTCTTTTTGCTTTCTAAAATAGCTTTTTAGTACAAAAATTTTTTGAATTTAAAATTTTTGTACTAAAAAGCTGTTTTAAAAAGTAGTACGAAAGCTAATTTTATTTGAGTGGTAAGAAGAGACTGAGATAAACACCAAGTAATCACCCATTCCAATTTCTTTTGGCTGACCAATCATTTATGAATAATATTTGTTTGATTTCCTTTATTCAAATAAATATTTTCACATTCCTTCACTAACTAAAAACCTAAACTTCAAATTTTTAACATTTTGACTCTTTGAAATTCAAAATTTAAAAGTTAAATTCATATTTTTAAATTATATGATGTGCAACCGCAAATTACAAATACATTGTCTTAAACAATAATAATTACACAAAATAAAATATAAGTTTTACTTAATGGACTTCGTCTTGCTCCTTGTCATGGGAGCTTAATTATTATTAAATTCTAGTTTTAAACTCTAGTTGTTGATCAAATTGTTCTTACATTGGCATCTTGAGCTACATTAATTCTCCTAGGCCTTAAAAATTTCTCTCTAAAGATTTGAAATCTATATAGTCCTCTACAAGTTCTAGTGCAATCTTATATTTAAAATAGGACTAATAAATATTTTTATTACAGTTCAAGAACATAAGCATTTGTGCCAAATTTTTTAATAATTTCAAATGACACATATAGCCTAGTTTATAATTTTGTAAATTTTGTAGAATGATATCTCTCAGATAAGATTATAATCAATAAATTATCTCTAAATTAAAAACAAGTTGTATATGGGTGGTAGACGTGTAATATTAATATTTTGGGTGTTAGATATATAAATAGCATGAAATAAAGTGGTATGTATGTAAATTTCCCTATATTTTATGTTTGTCACTTCTAATAGTTTCCTAACATTATCATAAAGGCTTTGAAAATCTTTTGCAAAAGTGAATGGTAAATTAGAAAATGAATGTGAATGTATGTTAACAATATGAATTAGTTTCTTTAGTTTATAGTCATAGATTATTTTGTTAGCAATAAGAATTCCAACTATACTCAGTTAAATCATTGCACTCTTCTTCTATTGATGTCAATGTTGTAAATATAATATAGGGTTGTGTATTAAGACAAGGTATAATTTATTTGGAGTGGTTGATTAGTCTACAAGGGTTGGGATTATCTCTTCAGTTGGGTTGATAGAATAATATTTACAAATTTTATGATGAATTGGAATATATTTTCTATTTCAAATTATATGGCATTCCGATTAAAAAACCAATGTATCACTAAAGCTCATGTGTTATATCCATATGAAGCACACCGCTATGCATTATATTTATAACTTTCCATCTTAATAAGTACTAGGCATGTGATGTGTAAAAAAGTATGATTTTCCCAACCCACATGAAATGATTTTGGATGAGGTTCTTACATAAGATTAGCAACTAAAAGTATATGTGTTTTGATGTCACATTTATTACACTACTTTCATCTATAATCAACCTGCTTCTTTTCTCTTTGCACATAATATACATAATGAAAATATTTCTCCTTCTAAATTCTCAACCCAAGCCATTTCCATACACCTCATGACATTCACTTAGCCTTCTAAATGATGGCCTATATTTTCATCATACAAAAAGACATGCATCATCAAGAATCTTCTTAACTTCTCCCTCCTCATCTTCATCTACTACATCAAGTTGACCATGCTTATGTCAAAACACATAAACAACTCAAGTTGACCATGTTTATGTCAAAATACAAAAATTATATCTCATAGGACAAATATAATATTTTTATGTTTAAATCATTCACACCCTAATGAAACCTCCCCAAGCTTAACCTAATGGCTCCTAATCTTCTAGCCTAATCGCCATAAAAACCTCAACCCATTTGGGCTAATTTAAGTAAGCCGAATAGTTTGAACCGAATTCATATGAAAAGGAATAAATCAAATTCAGGCCTTTCTTTTGACCTCATTTCTGTATGAGGTCATCAGGGCATGTATGGACTCCTGCCTAGTGATCCTATGGTTGACGGTTATCCACTTGTAAATCATAGAGACTCCAATCAAAGCTAATCCAGCCTTAAATGCAATTCTCACCCCAGACTCCTACCCTTCTTACAGTCAATGTCCAATCTAATATTCAAATCAAACCTTAATCTTATCCAATCAATCTTAACCATTCATCTAAATGTGATTGATTTGGATATTCCAAAACTCAATCAATCCAAACCCAAAATCCAGCTCAGACTTAGATTTTCAATCCAAACCTTGGAACCCATTCCAATAAACTCCAAATATCTAATCAAACTTATTCAGCCCAGACCTAGCCCCTAGGTCAACCTAGTTGATCAATTCAACCCATGTTGACTCAATGACCCTTGAAGGGACTAAATGATCAATTTGACCATTTATACCATTCTAACCCTTGAAAACATATCTACTAGACTTCAAATAACATTTCAAACTTATTCAACCCAAATCTAGACATTAGGTCAACCTGGTTGATCAAGTCAACCTAGGTTGACCAAGCCAACCCTTAAGTTATTTAACCCTGAATCAAACCCCATATGCATTCAAATTTCATCAAACTTCTTATGAACACATCCCCGAATGATTTGAATTTGATTGGACCCATTGACCCATTCAATAGTTAACTTGGTCAACTAAGTCCAAATCTGTTCAAACTTGACCTATTTGGTTCAAAATCCCTTTAACCATTCAATTCAAGCTCTCTAAATCTCTAAACCCTCAAGTTCATCTCAATGAGTGAATCAAACAAACCCAAATGAGTTTGAATTTAAATCACATTGAGTTTGACTTAGTCAAGCCCAAACCCATAGTCAAATATTATCCTCCACATGTCCTTTTATTCAATTTGTTCCAAGTGACTTCAAGCACATTCCATTCAATGCTTTGAACCTTCTTTGATTCAACATGGGTCAAACTCAAGTTAAGTTGACCAAGTCAACATATTAAGACTTGATCAAAATAGCTCAAACTCCTTCCCATACACTCAAACCATAAGTCCCTAATCATCAAACTCCCTTCAATACATCCAACCAGCTCAAGTACATCCCCAATCTGCCATCTCATCAGCATATTTAATTAACTTTTGACTTAAATAATTTTCAAGGATAAAAAAAACTATTTTGAAGTTATTTTGAAATTACCTTAATTTTCTTTAATCTTAAATTAAAATTTGAGCTATTTTCTTAATAACTTTAATTTTAAAATTATATATTTTTAATACTTGAGAGCATCAAGATGAGTTTTGGGATTATAAACATAAGCTAAGCTTGATTGAATTGATTGGCGGTGAGGTGATTAGTGAACAATCATGTCTTGATTGTTCACTAATCCAATTATCTATCGTTTATATTATTAGTCTTTGCATGTACAGAATGCACACACTTGCACTTAGCCTAGGCTCTCCTAGATTTAAGGACATGATTGTTCTTGTGTCTATGCATTGCCATGTATGGGTTAAATGTTAGAGTGACATTGATTTGGTCCCACCTAAATTAGTGACATATATGACCAAAATTAACGACAAGGTTTTAGTCACTTTTGGGAAGTTATAGAAGTTTGGACAGGTATTCAATAGGAGTAAGACTCATAACATTTAAACATAGTGACACTATCCATCCAAGGCTAGAAGCATGCTAATTTTAGAAATTATTAATCTTAGAATCTAATTAATCCTATGTTAACCCATAATTAGTCCTAGAATTTTAAAAATTTATAATTAATGAAAATAAAATACAAAATTTATAAATTAAATATTAAAAATTCTCAAAATTAAACCCTCAATCTAGAAATAATAAAATCACTATGATTAGACCCCTAATATAATATTAATTTAATTTTTAAGGAAAATAGATAATTAATTAAAAATATTTAAAAATGTCAAAAAAATCCCCAAATGCTTGAGAACCTCTCTTTAGGTCATTTTTTACCTTTGGGGGTTAGTCCAAGAAGTTTGGAGCTCATCTGGATTAAAATCAAAGGTCCCCCTAATTAAGGCAATTTTAAAAATTCCAAAAAAATATCTAACTCTTAAAAATCATAATTAATTCCAGAAATATCTAATTTAATCAAACTCAAATACATTCAACTCTAATAAAATATCAATTTTTTTAAAATTTTCAAACTTTCAAAATAAAGTCAAAGTCAAAAGTCAACTTCCTAGTCAACCATAGTTCAAATTTAAGGGTCAAACTTCAAAAAATAAGAACTTTTTTTTTAGAAAACTTTAAATTAAGCAAACTAACAATCTAACTACTCATCATAAGTTATAATATTTATTAAAAATTTGAAACCTACAAAATTAACTTTAGTTTAAAAAGTCAACTTTTTGAACTTTAATTAATGCAATTAAAATAATTCCAATGATTCTAAAAAAATCAATGATCTATAAAAATTTAAGAAAACTCTAATTGGATTAATGAAATCACTCAATCAACATTCTAATACACAACAAATATTCTAAAGATGAAATTTTTAGGATGGAATACTCCTGGCTACAGGGCTACGTGTCCTAATGAGGCCTACTTCCTCGAGCTTGGTGACACAATGCCACGAATAAATTCAATGGGGTGTAAAAATTTAAATTAAATCATTCTTAGTTATTTAACCAAACTAAAATTCTTAATTCAACTACATCAATAAGGTTTTTAGGATAGACTACTCCAAGCTGCGGGGCTACATGTTCTAAAGGGACTAGTTCCTCGAGCCTGGTGGCATAACACCATGAACCGGTTAATGAAAAATATAAATTAACATAACTTTTAAAATTAACCACTAATTAAGTTAATTAAATTTTATTAACCCTCTAATCTTTAAGTAATTAAATTCATCCAATCAAACAACCCTTAAAAGACAACTTAATCAAAACTTAAAAATATTAATATTTAACTTCAAACATACTTTCTCCCTCGACCTTTAATAAATGTAAACAATAGAAAAATTCCACAAATAATCCAGTTTAGGACCTGCCCCAACCACACTACCTTGTACGCATACTTTAGATTATTTACTAGGACAAACAACTTCAGTCTTCGCTAGATAGGTGTTTACTTTACTATTGTGTGCTAAGTTTTTTTAGAATTTCATTGCATGTTGTGATTAAAATGTCTGATGTAAATATTTATTTACTTTTACTACACTCTATGGATTGATGATGTGATGGATGATAATTAACTTTTATGTTAGGATCGATTTGGATGCTCACTAAATTTTTTATAGGTAGTCGTGCTCATGCAGGGCTAAAAAAATAATAATCATTATAAATGCTACAGGTGCTTCAACTTGCTTAGCCCCCAAATAAATAAGATAATGACCAAGCATAATAAGATTAAGTAATTTTAATTTTTTAATATAACTTCTTGGGATTATTTTACTTTTAAATGCTAGGATAACCCTACAGGAGAGTCTAGAAATTTTTTTTTAATATCAATGTAATTCATTCGAAGTTAAGATTTGTGAAAGGGTCTTTAATTTTAAGATACTTAGACCCAAAATTGAATTCCGAAGAGGAAAGGATACCCCTTAGGGGGGTAGTCCTTTTCCATTTGGAAGCTCAATTTTGGATCACTCCACTACCCAAAGTGAGAAGAATAACCTCCCCTTTGGGGGTAGAGTTTTCTTTCTCATTTTGGTATCCAGGCATTACAGATCCAAGGAACCTGAAGAGGATAAGATCGAGAAGCTGAAGGTAGAAAAGTATCCCACTTAAAGTTCACTTGCGTCTGTCCTAGGATTAGAATTTGAGTTTGTGGTTAGTGGTGCCCGTATACTTTTATTTTTTATAAAACTGAGTTGTAATAATTGGGGCAATTGCCTAAAGACTTTATTTTTTGATGAATTAATTATATTTAATGATGTTTGATTTACCTTACTTGTGGATAGAATCTTGTATGCTTTTTTTAGTTTTTTTTTTTTTTTTTTTGCTTGTTTTGATTTTGTTTTAGCTTGGTTTCTTGTGAGGGTATGCCAAAATTTTTTCTTCTAAAATCAAAATAAAATTTTAGATAATTTAGAAATTTTCTAACGCTTTTAAGAAGTAAGTTCAAGACCATTGGGAGTTTGCATAAATATTTTTTATGCATCATTCTCTTACTTTTGTTAGCCACCTCCCTACTTGTGGGTTTTAGCATAACACCTGACCTACGAGAGTGCAGATCTATCAAGGGAAATTTATGCAATTTATAGGATAAAATCTATTTTTAAGCATTTTTAAAACTATTTCATTCCAATTTTAAGCTTTCAATCGAGCCAATCAGCATGCATTACATTAGAAATTAATTTAAAATTAAGTCTAAAATTATAATTGCATTTCTCTTTAACATTTTCACCCACATAAGTCAAGGGATCAATTAGGACAAGCTCTAGATGTCAGTCCCATCTCTCAAAAACCTTAATAAAAATATCCCTACCACTCTTTCATAAAAAATAATCAGACTAATGGATTTAAAATTAACTAGGTGATTAGTTGGCTTCCTAATCTATGCTGGGGTAAGTTCAAACTTTGCATTGTATTATTTAGGTTTCGGCTACTGTATTCTAGTGTCCAAATTTAGATTTAGGATCTATGACAGATTTTGAATCATAAGACACCAATCTCAGGGAATGTAATACTAAATTTCTAATAAATCAACCAACTCAAATTAAATTTTCTCTCAATCCAAAATTAAAAACCCAACACTTAGATTTGGTTGGGGCACTTATGAATTATTTAGAAATCCCAAAGTGCCTCCTACCTCTCATCCGTTGATTCCTAAAATAAGTGCTCAATCATGCTCTAATTCCACTTGAAATTCTAGTTTCATTCCTTTTGGCATCACTCTTAGAAATCTCTAAACAAAATTTATCATTATTTTAATCAAGAGTTTTTGTAAGAGACTCCAATTTTCAATGATGTAATTAACTATGAGGGCTTGCACTCGTAAGAGATTTAGAATCCACATCCACCTTTTCAAAATTAATTTTTAAAATTCAAATTAGTCTTCTTTGGGAAAATTGAGTAAACAACGATCATTATTGTCATAAAGTGATGTTTTCTTTCTTTGAAGAAATATATCATTCACTATTGTGATTTATAATATGAAATTAATGATCTCTCATCCATACTATAGTGGTTGAATATTGATAGAATCTCATTTTGACCCTTCTGGGTTATATGTAATTCTTTCATGATTTCAATTAGTACAATCAGGATAGAACTTTTAGTTTCATTATCTGAACCCGTTAGAGAACAATATCTTTGCCTTCAAGGAGGAATATATTGCTTATAATGAGGCGTTTGATTTTGAGATATAAATTTAAAATCAAACTTCCCAAATAAAATTAAGCTTTAAAAAAACCACTTTTAAAAAATTCCACGAAAACTTTCTAAATTAAATTATTCTACCATAAAGTTTTCCTATGACTCTAAGAACATACTAGAACCTCTATCACCTTAGCCCGCCAACTAGCTTTCCTTGAGGAATGGGTTTAAGGCCATAGAATGACATCTACATTCATCCTCAAACCCTAGATTGACCCCAGCTGCCTTTAGCTCATCCCTAATAATTTATGCCAATTCAAATATTCTGGCCTGGCTGAAATTCAGATCATGTTAATTTCTTAATTTTCATAAATAGCCCCCCCCCCCCCCCCTAGTGCAAAAATTCACGTGTGTAATATGGACTCTTAGAATCCCCATATTGATTGTGAGTGAACCTTAACTTACCTTAGTACATAGAGCATGTCTGAGAGTAAATGTCACTTTGTGATTTATACATGTCCAATGATTTGTGATTTAATTTGAGTGAGCGTCGATAAGTACTACAGGGATAAAAGTCACCTTGTGATTTAGACATCGCCAGTGCTTGTAGTCTTTAGTAGAAAACTCCCACAATGTTAGTGGAACTCAAGGAAATCTTCAATTTAAACTAAAGAACCCATAAATATAGCGGCATGTTAATTCCAAATATAAAACTATTAGTGTCCAAGACATTGTGAAGTGAACTAGAAATCCAACATGTCTGATTGTTGGATTACAAGTCCATGTTCTCCAGATCCATCTACGGTGGCAATGATATCCTCTCTCTCTCTCTCTCTCTCTCTCTCTCTCTCTCTCTCTCTCTCTCTCTCTCTCTCTCTCAAGCACATGTGGAAAAGCTACACACAAAAGACTTTTTTTTACTTATCAATCTGGTTTGAGTTAGTTTGATTAAATTAAAACCCTTCTTATTAGAATAACAACAATTTTGAAGCCATAGGAATTATTTCATGTTTTTGGCATTTTTATGAATTTTATGTCATTCCAAATTCTTTTGATATCAAAACTAAATCCTAAAGTTAAATCAATAGCCTATTTGATTTATGTAGATTGCTTTGAGATTTACATCTTATTTTGAATTGATGTAGAATTTATTAACCAATAATTCTTCATTTTCCAAAGAAAACATTAAATTATATAGAGAAATACATAAATTTCTTAAAAAAAATAAATGCTTTATAGGTTATTTGATAACTAGAATTCTGAATTCATGCTTTTTGAGAATATATAATTAAATAGATGTAAGGAATTCTTAATAATCAAAATTATTTGATTATTTGTAAAATGAATATGCGGGGATTCTTTTTGTTTTTTTAGTTAGTTTGTTATAAATTTAGAGTTTGATATAACACTAAAACATATTTATAAGATTATCCTCTCATTATTTTTCTATTGATTAAAAAAAATTAAGCTCATCAAATATTTCTAATGTCATGAATCTCATTAAAACATAATATAAAAATAATTTATAATTCTTTTATTTACTAGAATCATAAAAAGTAACATAAAAAAATTACATCACATATCAAATAAGCTACCATTTATAAAATATAAATCTAAAATGATCATAATAGTTTTATAAGTATATATATATATATATATATATATATATATATCTCAATTAATAGCTATTGTAATGTAGTTGAAATTTGCATATGCAACATTTATGTGAGAGAATTAAATTGTTCAAAATTAAAAAAAAAATAACAATTCAGTTTTATGCACCCAATAATGATGCTTGTAAAGGCCGTAAGGATACCGCATAAAAAATGAATAAGTGGGTACAGTGCCAATCAGAAGTATCCCTCGAATCGCGGAGACGGATAAAGCTTCCGTCCTACAGGCGCAGGTTAGGGTTCCACTTATCTAAGCTTCTCCATCCTCTTTCGATTCGGCATTGCTGTACAGCTGCTGCGACCTTCGCTGGCACATGATGATGCTTCCGCAGAATCTTCGGAATCCAATTCATATTCGGACCTGTCGTTGCGTTCCTCGCTGATTTAGGCAAGTCAGTTTATATTTCCTTTCTACCAGAAGTAATAAAGATCCTTCTAATCTTCTTCACTGTATACGATTGCCTGGCAGTATGGCCTTTAAAGTAGTCCCGTGGAGAAATGAAATTATTCTCCCATAGATGGATTGATGGACGTCCTTGTACATAAGCCTTTTTTTTTTTTCTATGTAGTGAAATGTTGTCTGATAATTTAAAAGGTTTGGCATTGAATCGTGAAAATGAAGAAAATGCAGTTTTTCTGTAGGATGAAACAGTGATTTTAGATGAAATAATGTCGTTGCGCCTTTAGGTGTTCAACTCTATTGCCAGAAGATTTGAGGACTATTAGATATGAGTATCTTTCTTCATTGGAAACTAGTATTGAGTGTTTGCTGTCCTGAAGCTAATGTGTTTGAAGTTATGTTGGTTGCCTTGAAGGTGGAGCCGCTCTCTCTCAGCAAAATTAATAATCTTCACTAATTTTTGAATGGTTTATCTGTTATTATGACTTTAAGAATCCCAAGTACTTTGAAAATGTTTTCTCAGTGACAATTATACTAGTTATGAGATATTATTTATCATAGAGAGAAGATATGGTATTTGGTCTAGCTTCTATTTGGTCTAGCTTCTAATTGTCATTCCTCTTATGTTAGCTAGGTGCTTAGTAGATACGCATCACAGGAAAAGGTCTTTGGGAAGTTCGCATTCCTACATAAATTCTAATTATGAGATTTGTATCTAACAACCCTGCTTAAAAAGGAAGCATAATAGTGCAAAAAAATTCAATGTATGTGGTTATGAGCTATGCATTTTTGGTTAATTTGCTCTCTCCATGTAATGATGAAGTGATCCATTGGCGTTGTTTATTCTTTAACCAAAAAGATTTATTGACCATTGCATCACAACTTTAGTCCTACTTCTCTCCAGCTGGTCAAGATGTCAATTAGAGTATATTATGAGTTGGATTTAAAAATCGATTATATTGATAAAAGCTATTTGTAATCATCATTAGCCTTATCTTAGTTATTTGTAGTTAGTTTTAGGAAACCACCTTTTCCATTAAGTTCTATTTGTATCTACACGTGTTAACTAGCAAAATTCTTTTTTTCACAACACCTACGCAAGTCTTTCGCTAAACTGTGAGCCAATATCTTGTTTCTCAATCGAAGTTGAGGGGACTGACTGTGTTATATGTTTGTGTTGAGTTGCTGTAAAGTGTGTAAACTAACCAAAGCCAGCTCATACCTTTTTGCTAATTTTAGTTAAATGAAACATGCTTTTGTGCTAGCATGAAAACTGTGCATGAGGATTCAAACCAAATTTTTATATATGGCTGGGATTGATATCATGTACAATTTCTTCATTTAATGATGAAATAAAGTAATTAAAATGCATAGTTTATAATCTATATTATGTGACGACAGGAGCTATGTTGGTAAAAAAGTAAGTTTGTGAAAGGTCTACCGTCTCGAAGATCGGTTGAATCTAATGCATTAAGATGAACATATTTGTTTTCTAATGCTTTCTGATGTTCTCAACATAGCACAGAGAGAAAGTGAGAAGAAAAACAATGGAGTTTTATGCATGTATATAGTTATGCATAATGATGATAGTGAGGACAATTAGCACAATATTATTTGGCTTCATGAATTTGAAGGATGATTAATTGATAAGAAATTATTGGTAAAACAAGATTTTTTTTATGGCCTGTGGTCCATAAATCCTTGAGGCTCATTTTGGAAACAATCCCTAATTTGTCTTAACTTAATGTTCATTAATTTATACATATGTATGCATATTATGCATGTACGTGGTAATTTGAAAACTTTCATTCTTTTAAGTACGCTTCTTTACCATCTATTTGTTTCAATTCATTATGAAAGAATAATAGTTTTGTTTATGGAGGGCTGTGATTTTATGCTCTATATATTTTTAAATTGACATGCAGGTTTTTATGTTCTATGTGAAGTATGACTGAAGAATCCGATACAATCTTAGATGTCTATGATGAGCAGTCTGAGCAAAGATCATTTTCCCTGGATGACAGTAGCAGCAGTGAAGAATCCCCTAAGCATACAAGGCTTTCTTTAGAAACTGTAAATGATGCAATTCCTTACATCGGCCAGAGATTTGCGACCCATGATGCTGCTTATGACTTTTACAGTCAGTTTGCCAAGGGGTGTGGCTTTTCTATCCGTCGGCATCGAACAGAAGGGAAAGATGGGGTTGGTAAAGGAATTACAAGGCGATATTTTGTCTGCCATCGTGCTGGAAATACTCCTACTAAGGTATCAAGTGAAACAAAACCACAAAGAAACCGAAAATCATCTCGTTGTGGTTGTCAAGCATATATGCGCATTAGCAGATGCACTGAAATGGGGCTCTCTGAGTGGCGTGTTACCGGGTTTGCAATCCACCATAACCATGAACTCTTGGAGCCAAACCAAGTTCGGTTCCTGCCTGCCTACCGTTCTATATCAGATGCTGATAAAAACCGCATACTTATGTTCACAAAAACTGGCATTTCTGTGCAGCAGATGATGAGACTTATGGAGCTTGAAAAGTGTGTTGAACCTGGTTATCTTCCTTTCACTGAGAAAGATGTGCGGAATCTTATCCAGTCATTTAGGAGGGTGGAGCAGGATGATGAAAATATCGATCTCCTGAGAATGTGCAGGAACCTCAAGGAGAAAGATCCCAACTTCAGATATGAATTTACAACTGCTATGAATGGTCGGCTGGAAAATATTGCTTGGTCTTATGCTTCTGCGGTCCAGTCTTATGAGATTTTTGGAGATGCAGTTGTATTTGATACTACCCACCGCCTTAATGCTTTTGATATGCCACTTGGAATTTGGGTTGGCATGAACAATTATGGAATGCCTTGCTTCTTTGGCTGTGTGCTTTTGAGGGAGGATAATATTGGTGCCTTCTCATGGGCTTTAAAGGTAATGTTGTCTGAAGAGTTTACATGTTTTCTGTGTTTTTTGAGCTATTGGTATTCTTACCGGTTTGTTTGCGCCAGGTATTTTTAAAATTTATGAATGGAAAGGCCCCACAAACAATTTTGACGGACCAAAACCTGTGTCTTAAAGAAGCAATAGCTAATGAGATGCCAACAACCAAACATGCCCTTTGCATATGGTTTATTGTGGCGAAGTTTCCATCTTGGTTTAATGCTGTGCTTGGAGAAAGATACAATGATTGGAAGGCTGAGTTCTATAGGCTTTATAGTTTGGGAACCACAGAAGAATTTGAGCATGGATGGAGGGCGATGATAGACAGATTTGGGCTTCATTCAAACAGACATATCACCAACTTGTTTACATCTAGAACACTTTGGGCTTTGCCATTTTTAAGAAGCCATTTCTTTGCAGGAATGACTACCTCAGGCCTATCAAAAGCAATAAATGCTTTCATTCAGCGGTTCCTCAATGCACAGACCCGACTAGCTCATTTCGTTGAGCAAGTATGTTTTCTACCCATTTGATGTTATATTTCCCTGTTTAAGTGATAAGAAGCTTAAATAGTTTACCTACTTTTCTTGTTGAAAGGTTATTTGTCACAATATTTGATTTAGTTTAACTGTTTTTCAATGACAATATAAGTAAGGTTATTGCACTTTTACTGATGCTGGTTAAATGTTGTGTTCAACCCTCTTCTACTTAGGAGATTGTTCTCTTGTGCTTCTTTTTAAGATCTTTTTACTTATGCATATTTTTGATAAGATAAAATGCACGCCTCACTATTGTTTTGCATTTTTCTCTAAATAATATTTATGTTCTAAAATGTATTTATATACATAGGCGAATTGAGTTATAACAAAACATTGTACTATGAATTGACTGATTTGAGATGATTATTCTGCACTGATTGATTGAAGATAATTATTTCAGCCAAAAATACATTGCACTTTAGATTAAAACAAAATATTGTAATATGAATAGATTGATTGGAAATGGTTATTTCACCCAAAATTACATTGTACTTTAAGTTAAAACAAAATATTGTACTATGAATTGTTTGATTGGAAATGATTATTTCACCCAAAAATATTTTGATTATATTTATTTTACTCTGTTCACAATATGCAGAATACTGTTTGTTTTGGCTCAACCCATCCTATACCAAGCTGAACTTTACAAATTTATCTTTATTGGTGTAACTTCCTCAGGTTCTTCATCTTAGGGATGCTCCATCATGACTACCCTTAGCTGAATTCTTTGAATATATATAGTTTACCTTGCCCACATCATGTGAGATATTATCTGCTTTTGTTCAGCTTATCTCATATCATTTTAAACCTTACTATTTTACCATTCTTGGTATAACTTCCCAATTGGTCATCGATCGCTAGAATGCTCCATCACAGACACACTTAACTGGTGAGTTCACAATGAAACTCTACTCACTACGTCGAAAGATTCCTCATATATTTTGATCTAACCCTTCACTTATATAGCCCAATAACCTATCCTCTTTTGATGAGAGATTTTATTTATATTTGCTCCCTTTTTCTCCTAGGAGCATTTCGAAGTCACTTATTTTTAGAGCTTTAGCCTTGGCCTTCATTCTTCGTCCTCTTCATTTTGCCCTCATGGGATTTTGGATGTCTCAGGCTCATGAACTTTTGCTTATTTCAACTCCAAACTACATATTACTTGAGGAGATCAAGCTTTGATGCAATTTTTAATGGCCTAGCCCACACTGTCATGACTCGCCTAGGAGCTCAGAATATCAAGATGAGAATAGATAGTTGGATGGAATTTAAATGCTTTCTACACACATTAAAAAATATTCAAACTATTCTTCCATCATGTAAAAGATGCTGATTTTCAATTAGCTTTTGTAATACTTTTCAAACCTTTAATTCTTAAAAAATTTATTAACTTAAAATTATTTACTAACATTTAGATTTTCCTAAAATCCCTGAATAAAATAGAATTCCAAATTTATGATTTAATACCGAATTTCATTTTTCTCCTCTTGATTTAGTTTAGTTCTTCAGACCAAAAGCCTGACAAATTACTTTGAAAATTAAAACTAAATTTAGAGATTCTTTATTTCAAGAAAGAAAAAAAAAATCTATGTTAGGCTCAACCCATCCTACATGTTGTCTTGGACATAAGTAATATCAATACAATTGCATTTACTGATCTCTTTTGATAGGCTGCCGTTGCTGTAGACTTTAGAGATCAAGCTGCAGAACAGCAAACTATGCAACAAAACCTGCAGAACATTTGCCTGAAAACTGGAGCTCCCATGGAAGCTCACGCTGCTGCTATCCTGACTCCCTATGCCTTCTGCAAGCTCCAAGATGAGTTTGTCATGGCTGCCCATTACGCGTCATTTCAGGTCGAAGAGAGCTACTTCCTTGTTAGGCACCATACGAAGATGGATGGAGGGCGGAAGGTCGATTGGGACTCGAGGGAGGAATTCGTTTCCTGCAGCTGCCGCATGTTTGAATTCTCAGGAATTCTTTGCAGGCATGCCCTGCGAGTCCTCTCGACCATCAACTGTTTTCAGATTCCGGACCGCCATCTCCCTCTTCGATGGCGGAGAATGAACTCACTTCCATCCAAACATTCTACCGACGAAGCTCTTGTGGAGCAAAATGAAAGGTTTCAGGCCTTGCAGTCCATGCTCTCGACGCTCGTCTCTGAAGCTACGAAGTCCAAGGAGAGGCTTGATATAGCTTTTGAGGAGATTTCGCAGCTGTTAACCAGGATAAGAGGAGTGCAGCCATCAGGACTCGGTTCAAGAAATGGTGTTCATAGGATTGCCAGATGATGCTTGGCAAATTTTACGTGTGGATTATAGAGATTTTATTTGAGGCTTTGAAGTGCTTTGTGGAAGATAGGGAAGATGCTGTAAAGAGCAGAATGGGTGAATGTTCATGTCTGGAGAGTTTTGTAGTTTTTAGCTTTTTGTTTGCTTTTTTTTTTTTGCCAATGTAAATTGTGATTTTCCCTTTTCAGAAGTTCCTTCTTTAGATCAATCAATTTCTGTTGTACATTGCGAATTTTTTTTTATGATAGTATAATTTATGTGTTTATAACGAGAAATTATTCTATACGTAATCCGAATGCGTTCGGATGCTGCGTATTTACTGTTTATTTGTTGCGTATTTTTTTATACAAAATTTTTTCATGCCAAAAAATAACAAATAAATAATACTCACTAAATACATAATAAATACGCAAAAAATACGTAGAAAATAATAAATACACAAAAAATAAGCAACAAATAAGCAGTAAATACGCAGCATCCGAACCTATCTCTGCGTTCGGACTGCGTAAAGAATAATAGATAGAGATGCACTGTACGCGTGCTTAAGAAATTACAATTTTAGTTTTTAGTTTTTTGTTTGTTTTTTTTTTTTTTTCCAATGTAAATTGTGATTTTCCCTTTTCAGAAGTTCCTTCTTTAGATCAATCAATTTCTGTTGTACATTGCGATTTTTTTTTTCCTGATAGTATAATTTTATGTGTTTATAACAGAATAACAGATAGAGATGCATTGTACGCGTGCTTACGAAATTGCAATTTCTATGGAGAATATTGTCTAAATAAATTGTTTTAGATGGATAGTACTGGTGCCGTCTTAGCTCAGCCGGTAGAGCGCATGGCTTTTAACCATGTGGTCGTGGGTTCGATTCCCACAGACGGCGTCCAGACTTACTTTTTTAATCACGTCTTTAATCATGACAAAATTAAGAGTCAAGAGACTATAAACCATTAATTCTTGTCAAAGTATTTAGCTTAATACTATTTCATAGTAATGATGACCAAAATAAAATTATATATTTATATGTACAAGAAAATTCATGAGAATGGAGGAAGCTTTGCAAAGTTTGGATGAAGAAAGATCAAATGATCATGGTTGTGTATTGGGAATTGGGAATGGTTGGAGGTGATCATTATTGATATTGAATATTGTGTGCAATCTCCATCTTAGGTCGTCTATGTGAAGAATGATAGTTGATTTATAATTTTTTTTTTTTGCATACACCGAACATTTGTGACGGTTGAGGTAAAAAGATAAAGAGCTTAATATTTTAGTTTTAAACGACATACATAGAGATAAAAAGAGCGGTATGAGAATCATAAGAAGCACTAAGGTTTTGAAGTGAAAAACTCTAAAAAGGGAAAAGACCATAAGGCTTGGCCTAGTTGAATTACTCAATAGTATTTATTGTTGACTACAAATGAGGCCCTTTCATGTGGGGAAGGTCTTGGCTGTAGTAAATATCATTAGATAGAGCACATTAAATGGTGGTAGTTGGAAGAATCTAATGATATGAATGTTTTTCTCAAGTGAGTGTGGGCATGTTCATTCGGCCAACAGGACCGTTGTCGGGTGATGGTGGTCGAAGGGATCCTAGCGGGAGCGATCAGAGGAGGAGGCACCATAGGCGGCGGGCGACGAAGGTTGAAGGGATCATATTCGGCAAGTGGTGGAAGTCAGCGACCGAGCGACGGTCCGACGATGGGCGAGCAAAAATGTAGCGGCGGTTGGCAGCAGGGTGGAAGTCCGGTGCCAGTTGGTGGATACGAGGTAGTTCATCGGTGGTCCAGCGATGGTCGACCTGATGTCTGGCAGTTATAGACGAACAAGTGGTAGTTCGGTAGCAGCCGACGGTAGGTTGGTAGTTTGACAATGGTCAGACGAAAGTCTGGTGACTGTCAGAGGTAGGGTGGAATTTCGGCATTGGTCGGCGGCCGAGCGGTGGTCCGACGATGGTTTGCTGGAAGTCCGGCGACGTTCGGTGACCAGGAGGTGGTCCATCAACGTAGGTTTGGCAGCGATGGTGTTAGAGCTCTTGAAACCTCAGAGCTCTGTCTAGTATGTAGTTAAAGGCCCCCCTTCATGTGGAGTGTGAAGGTCTATTTATAAATTTTTTAGAGTGATATGCCTCGTAAATATGGAGAAGATCTGCGGTAGACTTATAGTGCTCCATCGGATGACCAATATTGATCCCTTCGATCATAAAACATTTTTCAAGTATTTATGTTCCTTAATGATGTCAAAATTCAGTGATATTAGGCTCGTTGGATTTGTTTCATCGAGCCGCTCGATTCGACTATAAGCATGTCACATTTGTATATCATTCGGTCATTCAATTTAGGCTTTTAACCTTTCAAATAAACTTGGGCCCCCCGATTTGGACCCATTTGGGCTCGGATTGGATCAATTTTGGTGTTGTTGGGTTCATCTCTTTGAGACATTCAATTATTTATAAGTTTGTCAAAATTGGAGTTCTGATGATACCTAATTTAATTTTGAAATTTTCCAACTTGAATATGCCTTGAGATTCATACAGGATCAAGATGATTTTTAATTTGGTGATGTATCAATAGCATTTTGAAAGTGTTAATTTGATAATTTAGCCAAAGTTTTATAGCATTTCATCTAATGACCCATATTGAATCCTTTTATTATAGGCTGCTTAATCAAAATTTATGTGGCTTAAAGATCTCAAACTAAATAATCTTGTACTTTTTCTATTTATCTTAGCGATTTGATTATAAGCATGCAAGATTTTCAAACTGTTTGGTCCGCCAATTACTAACTCAAAATTTTCGAGTATGCATCAAACATGTTATTTGAGTTCATTTGGATTGAGTCCAACTATAAGTTTGCTAACATAATGTTTGGGATGATTCTGTGATTAATCCTAAAACTTTTTTAAAGATTCATGTCGATTAAGTGAACTTTTTGAAGACATTATTTGCCTTTTACTTTCAGACAACAATTTCATACAACAAATTATGTGTCATCGAAAAAAATATATTCAACCTTCAAAAAAGATTATGGCACAAATTTTAATTTCAAAAAAATTATGAGATGCGATCACCTTCTACATCTTTTGAGGCTTTTAACTTTCTGAGTTTTTTAGATAATTGAATGAGCATATGCTTTCTGAGACTTTGATATTCTTGCGGAACTAAAGATGCTTGTATGTTTTAAGGCTTCATTCTTTTACTTTGAGATTCTTGCGGAACTAAATTTGTAGGTTTTAAGATTTATAGTCTTATGAGATTTTAGAGAATGAGAGAAATTTGTTTCTTAAATCGTTTAGCTTTTTGAGATTTTAAATTATTAAAGATCATATCAACCACTTGCTCTTATGGATTTGTCTTGTGAGAAATTTGTCTATTACTCGTTTCTTATTGAGGCCATCTCCTAGACATGCATTTTATAGGTTGTGAGTGGAGATCAAACATGACACTTGAGATTATTAGGTGCGGAATGCGGACGGGGAAAACCGTCCGCACAAGCCTTATTACGCGCTAGATACCGGCACTCGGTACCCAGCGGTATCGCTGGGTATCCATGTTTGTGCGGACGGTGCACACTCTGCACCTAATAATTTTTCGCTCTTATAGGGTCTTATTAGTATGGACTATATCAACCAATAACTCCTATCGAAACTATTAGAGAAAGGATTAGATTAAGATCACGGCTTTACAATGTTTACTGTACACTCTAATTACCTTAACTAGTATATATAGGCTTGTAATGCTCTGTATGTTTGAATAATACTTTTCCCTCTATTTTCGACTTTCCTGTTTGCCCTGTCTTTCTCGTCTTCGATCTCTCTGCTCTCTCATCTCCTTCATGGTATCAAAGAGCTAGGAATGGGGGATCAAGGTTCTATCTCCTCCCACCCTACCCCGTCCTCCGCTCTCGCTGGCGACTCATCGGAGCTCGTCATTCCGACAAACCTCAAATTCATTATATCAAACATCAAGAATCTGGTCCCTCACTCGTTAACCTCCGATAATTACGTGATCTGGCGTACTCAAATTTTCAGCACATCTCAGCCAACGGCTATGCAGATCATCTCACCAGAGGAACATCTCCGCTGCCGGATCCGACGTCGTCCGATCACGCGCGTTGGCGTCTCATCGACAACAATCTCACCTCCGCTCTTTTCTCGACGATCTCCCCCGTTGTACTACCCTATGTCATTACTTCGACTACAGCACAAGAAGTATGGGCAGTTCTTGAACGCCGGTTACAGTATATATATATATTATTGATTAGATAAATAGAAACTTACTTGAAAAATAAATTTGATGCCCAATAGAAATTAATATATATATTAATTTTATAAACTCTAAGGAGATACGGAGCTCAACTTCTTTGGCTTACTTCAATGATAGAATCTTTCAATGTATGAAGGCAAATAAGTTGTAATGCTGATCAAATTTTTATTATGAATTTTTACATTTGCAATAGTATTTCTCAAATTGCTTCAATGAGGGCCAATGGCCTTATCAATAGTTATTTGTATTTTTATTCGATGAATAAGTACAACATAAAAGAGAACAATTCATCACTTTGATGAATCATTCAACGAAAAGCCTGACTTGGTTGACAAAATATGAATAGTTCTAATAAAAAGAGTATAGAATAAAGCGCTTGCTTGCCTCTTAAAAAGTTATGGGGAAGATTTGATAAAGGGCTGCATCATAAGCTTATGGAATATACATGATGGACCTCTTAATGAATAAAATGTTTTTATATCATGTTCTTGTCCTAAAAAAAAAAATTTTACTAAGATTATCGGCTTACAAATCAAACTCTTAGGATCTCAGAGAAAGCAGAGTCAGTCTGAGAGAGAGCCTTTTATAGAAAATCTGATTTTTTTTTTTTTTTGAAATGAGGTATCTACCCGCTGTCATCTAAAAAAGAGGCGCATGACGATGTAACTAATCCCTCAGTGGACCTACCAGCAACCAACCGCACAGGTGTAGGGCCACATAGTTATTTTCTCCCCAGTTAAGGAGTCGTACCGTATGAGAGAGGAATTGAACATGAATTGAGGTTTCCCAACCACAATCGCTCACCAACTCAGCTAAACCCGGTGGGGTGAAAATCTGATCAATTAGAATTCAAGCTCTCAAAGAGAAAAAAATTTATTTTTCCACCCAGCTAACCAATTCCCTGTTTTGTTCAGCAAAGATGCCAATAGATGCCCTGTAGGTAACTTGTAACAAGAGGCAGAGCATTATCTGGCCAATTCTCTTGAGAATTTTTAATGAGATTTCTTCAAATACTTTGCGCCACCCCCAAAAGTGCATAACAAAATATAAATCAATGTACTTAATGATATACTATGTAATTTTAGATGAATTAAAATCATGATTAAATTAAAGATTATTATTGAGGCTTTTTGAAATATCTCTTTAATTTCATAATTTGTATGAATTTTATAATGTTCAGGACCAAAATTTTATTTTATTTTTATTATACAAATGGAGTTATGATCTCCAATCTAAGTGGCACCCCTTTTTTTATTTATTCGAACTCATAGCATAGTAAAAACGAGACTCTTTGTATGGAAAAATTACTACATGCAGATGTCGAAGGAGGCTAATTCGGACGCGCCATGTCGCCCAATACATAATGCATTTGGTGATATGATGTGTCTGAATTGGTCTCTAGACACGTTCGACGTCCAACGTAATAATCTCTCCTCTATACGTATAAATTCATGAAAGACTTTTAAACATCACAAATTTGTGTTTCAACAGATTCATACACCCTTTCAACTAAAACTACTCAATGATTAATTTATATCAGATTTTGATCAGAAGAGCATTACTTTCATCTCCACATTTTTCAAACAGTTATTTCCAATCCAACATTTATTCTAAAGTTATAATCTTAAGCTACATATTCAACTACATCAACCTTCCTGCAAAGTAAAGCTTATAAGATACACTATCTAATCTTCATCAAATAACCACAATACTTATTGCTAATTAACCCTGCTTTCTACCTACATAATTTTTCTATTCATCCACTGCCATAACTTCCAGCAAGATAAGCAAGGCACCCTACAATAGGAGCATTTATGTATGTGGCCGGCTCCGACCCGGCATAGTTATTCCGGTCATCGGAGTACCCATCATTCTGATCAGGACCACCCACCACAGCTCCGGTCAATATGTTTGGATTTGGATTATTACTGTTAAGGTACTGAAATCCTTCTTGGCAGCCAATATGGCTAGGATGACTGGCTTTTGAAGGCAGTGATGATCCTCTATGGTGTATTCTCTTCGGAAAATTTGCACTGTATCCCACCATATATGATATTTTTGAAGGATTTTGTCCCAGTATGTAATCCACCTGTTTGTATATGAACAAGAATGATTAGTTGCTTTATAGCTAGGATGATTAAGCGTTGATTAATTGATTAATTAACCTGCTTTTTGGCTAAGTTTCTCAGAGTGTTTGAAGTAACAAGAAGGTTTCCACAGTTGAAGTTGTGGGATGATGAAGCCATGAACTTGGCATAGGTAGATAGCAAGAAGGATATGGAAGTCACGTACTGGAGGTTGCTGGAGCTCAGCTTGTACATGAGACCTCCTAATTAATAATAATTAGCCAACGAAGATAAACAGTTAGGGAGAATTAATGCACGATAATAATGTGATTAGTGAAGCTTAATCTTAGTTTTACGAAATGGTAAACCTGGGGTGTACTGTGTTGATGAAGAAGGGGAGTTGGGTAAAATTCTGCAAAAGAAGTCTTCTGCTTGAACTCTGAATGCATCGTAAGTCTTGTCTTTGTCAACCAAAGCTTTCTGCAAAGAGATTAGATTAGAGTTAATTACGATTTTAATCTGCATTTTTAGTGTGTTTGCTTGATTTAATTGGTTATTAGTAGCTCATTTGAAAATTCTCTTGTTTAATTAGATTAATTACTCTTGCTAAGAGAACTCTGGCGCCTGCAAACTTGTTATCCCAGCTAAATATGTCAGCCTGATCGTTGGCACCGAGGGAGTTTATGTAGTTAAGGTAGGAGATGTCATTAGTGGCTCTTAGCAGCCATGATGCTCCCCAAAGCAGCTCATCCTGCATAGAATAATTTTACAAAAAAATAATATTAATACTTTTGGCATTCTTTTTATACAAAAAATACTTGGTGGTGCAAGTGATTCAAGCCGCCTCGAGCTCAACTCAATAAATGGTTTGGCTCGATCAGCTAACGATTCAAGTTTGAGTCAGCCTTAACTCTACTCATTAGCATACGGGCCGACTTGTTTAAAATATATTAGCATTCATGATTTTGATGACAATGTTGTTAAAGATGTATAAAAATTATATCTTACTTTTTATATATTAGGTGATTTTTTATTAATTTTCTTCAATTTCATATTTTTTTGATAATTTTATTATAATAATTGTTTGAATAATAATAATTTTCTTGCTCGAACTCGTAGAATGAAGCTCGAGCTCGAGCCAGAACTCGATTAATTAATCAAGTTTCAGCTCAAACAAAATATGATTCGAGTTAGACTCGACTCATGTTGACTTTGATGAATGTCTCCATGCATGCTGAAAATATTTACTACAATAAATAAATAAACTTATTTTGTGAAAAAATTGAAATTATTATTATTATTATTTCATGAAATTCCTCTTTTGGTCAGCTAAAATAAAATAAAAATAATAATAATAAACTTCTTTAACTAAATTTTATACCTTAAAGCCGGAGTAGGAGCAGTAAAAGGGACAAACAGCTCCCACCGAATCACTATACTTTCCCTGATACGTCTGAGCAAATGTCATCACCTTCTTAGCCGCTGACAACAACCTGTTCGAATAATTTCCATCCACCGAGCGGAAAACGATCGCCGCGGCAGCCAACGCCGCCGCCGTCTCGCCGGCGACGTCCGATCCGGGAGCCGTTGGCGAGACCCAGTAGACTGTGCGGGGGGTGTCCATATCCTCTGGCCTCTCCCAGCAATTGTGGTCGGCGTTGGGATCGCCGACCCCGACGTATAAACGGTTCGGTAGTCCGCCGGCAGCTTTTAGGAGATAGTCGGTGCCCCATCGGACGGCTGTGCGAGCGGCGGCGGTCTGAGAGCCCAAGCGCTTGCCGTACTCTATGATGCTCCAGGATAACATCGTGGTGGTGAAGGCCATGGGGAAGCCGAACTTGACATTGTCGCCGGCGTCGTAGTAGCCGCCGGTTAGGTCCACCTTAGAGATGAATCTAAACTGTTAGGAAATGCTCAAATTTTTTGTTCTTCGTCAAAATTTGGTCAGAATGATCTTGAAATAGTTTGATTTTTTAAGAAGTTTTGTATAGAGGTCCTGCCTAATAAATAATCAGGATTAATTTTTAAAATTTTGAATTTATTTTAAAATAAATATAATACATAAAAAAGTTATATGATATTTATTTTAAAACAGATTTAAAATTTTAAAAATGCATTCTGATAAAATTTTAATTAGAATATATTGATATTATTCTTTTTTGCTAATTTTTCAAGAATTAATGTAATGTATTATATATGAATAATTAATTAAGGTTTATATTATATTAATTTTAAAATACTCTTTTGATAAAAAGAATCGTTTAATTTTTTTTCTTAATTTTTTTATTTGTCCATAAAATCTTCTTATTTTTATCAAATATCCTGAACCTTATAGCTACTAAGTTTTAATTTTTTTTTTTAACAAAAATAAGTTAATGGATTGGGTTTAGATCATTTGGGTTGCTAGGGGTTGGATTTGGGTTGGTCCTTCTATCTTTTTTATTGAACATGTTAGGTTTCGGTTGATTGCATGTATTTGCATGGGTCGAATTAATATTGAATCGAACTCGAGTTTGACCAGCAAACCCATTTTGACACTCCTGATTCTTATGATGGGCATATGTGTGGTCATGCCATGAGTTATCAAACAAAAAAATCAAATCAATTCTATTTGGATGGTTTGATTTGATTAAAATATCTACTGTATTTTTTATAATTATAATTTTAAATTTTAGTTTCATTTTTTAATGAAATTGGTCAAATTAAAAATTACATTAAATTACTTTTTTTAAATATTAAATCAATGTAGGCATGTAAATAAATAAGTGACAAAAAAATTAATTTTGATATGATTCGTTTTATTTGTTAAAAATATAAATTTTAACAAATATGCACTATATTATTCTTAATACATGTTATTTAAGCTAAATATATTTAGGTTAATTATTGAATTTTAGTTCATCATAAATCAAATTGAACCGCCTCAATTAAATATAATTTAACTTAATTTAATTATGATATATCTGATTTTCTAAATTTTACAATCAAAATTAATTAACTTAACTAATTTTTAAATTAAATAAACCAAACTAATTAAATGCAGTTTTTTGTTTTATTTACTATTAAAAATATAAGTAAAACCATCAAATGGAATTTAGTTTAAAGTTTACGATTTATTTATTATAATAAAAAGTAATTATTATAGCTATTTTTAAAATGAGACATTAGCCTACACCTTATATAATGTATTTCTTGTATTTAAAATGATATAGAATTAAATATATATTCTTAAAGATCATTGCCTAGTTGTAAAGGGTCGTCCTTTACCTTAACAGATAAACAAAACTTTTGGGTTAATATTTATATTTATTGAGAATTATGGGAAGTTTTATAATCCTTTTGTATTTATACCACAACACAAATTTTTAAGAAATTAAAAATACAATATTGTTATATTCCCTAATATGATCAAATATTATTTTAATAAGATTTTATTTGGGACAACTTTCATATCACTTATTAAGTAACTTTTTTATACAAAAAATTTTTAACTAAAAATTTATACATAAGAAAGCAGCTTTATAAAACAATAATATGCTGTCCCAAATGAAGCCTTAGACTTCATTTGAGACGACTTTCTTACTGCTTCTTAAAGTAGCTTTTTAGTTCAAAATTTTAATTCTTGTATTAAAAATCTGCTTTAAGAAACAATAAGAAAGTCATCCCAAACAAAGCTTTAATTAATTTTTTTCTAGTTCGAAAATATTTTTGTACTAAAAAACTGTATTAAAAAGCAGGAAAAACGTTATCTCAAATGAAACTTTAATTAGAAAAATTATGGAGGATAACAGAGTGCTGGTGGGTGGTTTAATTGATGTCTTAAAAAATTTTAGATTTTAGATGCCTAAATATAAAGATATTATATGGTATGCATGTAAATTTCGCAAAAGTATAGCATCAAATAAATAAATAAATAATTACAAAAAATTAAAAATTACAGATTTTATTAAAATTTGTATTTTTTTGTTAACATACTATTTAAATTTTGGGTGTGATTTATATTTATGGAGAGTACTTATGGGAACTTTTATATTTATGGATTAATATTTATATTTGTATATTTTTTTAATTATTTATATTATCAAAATTTTTCTCATGAATAAAGGATCAATTAAAGCACCTCATGAATTAATTGGGTGCCTACACTCTTAATTTAATCCTGTAGAATGACTAACAGTTAATTACATATTAAACTCAGATCCAATTCTAATCATTGCATAATTCAATCATTAACAAAGATTAGACTAACTTCACTATTAGAAAATAAAATTATATACAAATATATGAGAGCCTTACATTGGCAGCTGAGCCATCTGCGAGGGCAGAGTTGGATCTCCAACTGATCTTCTGATCTGCAGGAAGCTTTCCAGATCTCTGACCCTCAAAGAACAATATAGATTTTGCCAATGCATCGCTATAGTTTTGGTTTGCTTCTCCACTCCACAAAGTCAAAACCAAAGAGAAGAAGAAGAGGAAGAAGCAAAAGTGGAACGAAGGAGGAGACTCCATTAATGGCCTTTGATGTTCAATTCTAGCCAATGGGAACTAAGCAAAATGATCAGACTAGGCTTGATATTTATACACAGAAGACAGCAAGCTCAAGAGGGGAAAAAGTTATAAGGTTTGGCTTCAATCTGACGTATATAGTTTTCCATGCAGTATTTGAATTTTTCTACAGCTCATATTGGAATATCTGTATAAGCTAGTCAATAACCAGTTACTGTTCACGAGTAAAAAATCAAAGAAGGGGGAGCTGCACTTTGGTGCCTTGCGCCATACTTCTGGCCTAAAAGAATTTCATGGCCATACTTGACCGTTGAGATTTTGCTTTAGTTCTTTTCTATTGAAAGAAAATTAGTTTGAAATATTTTAATAAAATTTTAATATATTTCAAAATTAAATATTTATTTTCTTAAATTTAAGATCATTTTTATTACTATATTAGAAAAAGTTGCATATGATAACTCCGCTATAGATTATTTTCATGCTAAGACTTCATTTATGACAACAACCTTGTTACTTTACTTTTCAAATTCCAACCACAATTTTTGTTACATTAGCTTTAAAAAGTTAAATTATCTATAGCAATTTTATAAAGCAATAAGAAAGTTGTTTCAAGCAAAAGCTTCGTTTGGGACAGTTTTTTTATGCTTTGTAAAACTAATTTTCAATAAAAAAACTCTTGAAAGCAAGAAAAAAAAACTTTGTAAAACTAATTTCAATACAAAAAACTCTTGAAAGCAAGAAAAAAAAAAACAGCGTATCCCAATCGAAGCCAAAGTCCAAATAAGGAAAAAATATTTTGCAAGATATTGAGAATTTGTCTTCCTATTCATTATTCTTTTTTTAAAGAAGAAGATCTTTCTAACCTTTTTTGTTCTTTCATCCTATTGGAGAACTACTTCCTTAACTTGGGATATCCAACTTCTTTCCTATGCATATCTTATCATGACGTTAGGAGGCCAAGCATGTGAACAGGAAGTGCAAGTCATTAATTAGGTTTCATTTATGCCCATTGCTAGGAATATAACCATAGGATTCTAACTTTAGAAAGTAATTTATGGGATGGAGTTGTAGAGTATTGGTCTATTAGGCTAATAGCTAGACTAATTCTATGATTTTTGAATCAAAATGGGATAGTTATGAGGTTATGGTCATCACCTTGCAATAGCATTTTGGCCTAACTCATCACAACAGTACTTGTATATTGTATTACACTTTTCTTTGTCCACACTTATCAAACTGTTGACAAAGTTGTCTATGAGGATTTGAGTGTGAGGGAAGAAATTTAATTAGTGTGATTTGATATGCTTATTTTAATCAATGTAAGAATGTATATCTCTATATTATGTTCTTTTGTATCTTTAGGACTCTTTTGAGTGTCTCCATTTTTTTTGTAAATAGTTTATGATGTTATATTTTCTTTGATCTAAAGTGTTTTAAAATTTTCTCCATCTTTCAAAGCAATGCTTTTTTATGGTTTTCTAATTTATATTTTATAAAAAAATTGCATGAATTGATTCTTGTACAAATATTAATGTCACGTCCCAAAATAAGTGGAATTATTTTCTTTTTTTTTTTCTTTTTTATCTCTTTTCCTTCTTTTATTTCTTTTATCTTTCATTTAACAACCAGATCAATTTGACATCCAAAGCTGAATAATTGTACTACAAAAATAAATAATAGCGAAAGTATCATTCAATTTTCTATAATTAATATTTATATTTTATCTCTAGGGTTCAAAATAATATATACAATACCCTTCATAAGATATATATATATATATATCAGAGGAACTAAAATAAAACTACAGTACTTATCTTTATTTGAAATCCTGTAAAATCATGTTATGAGCATAAAAGTATAGTAAATAACTAAAATCTTACAATTGAAATCAATGTAAGGTAAAAAAGGAATAATATGCTATAAATCATGTAAGGAAGTGAATGCATCAATATATGATATATGTACTAGTTACATGTGTCAATTGATCAATTCTATTACACATCGCATCTTATTCTATCAATCAATAAAATCATTAAGTCTTTATCATTCAATCAATTTCATTCAGTTATATTATTCAATCATTTTTGTTAGTCTACCAATTATATAATTATACAATAGTATCAGTATCCATATTAAGTAATAGTAAGCACACTACATGAAAATCACCAATTATCGGCATATTTTTTAGGCCACTTTATGACAGCTTTCCAACATATTTTCGGCGAAATATGTCCGTCAAAATTTTCTACAGATTTTTCGGCGACTCTCCGGCAGCTTTTGTTCCGGTGGCTTCTCCATCGGATTTTAGTTCTTAAATTTTAAATAAAAAAAGTATGACATTTAAACACTTTTGTCCTTCCAACAAACTAGTTTAGTCTTTGAAATCATACTCACTTTGAATCCTGCGCATGTGGGTAGTGCGGTCAGCTGGGCAGTTCAGGTGGCCAGCCAGGCTCCTGGCAGGGCAGCGGGCAACCTGGCAGGCAACACAGGAGGCGTGCGGGCAGCCAAGTAGGTAGCAGGCAAATGGGCTGGCGGGCAGGCAGCTTAGCGGACAGGGCAGGAGGCTAGTGGGTAATGCGATAGGGCAACGGGTAGCCGGGCGAGCAATGGGCAGCCTGGTTTTTTAAAATTTTTGACAACATTATTCAACCAAAAAGCCGACGAAAATTAGTTATCATTAATTTGCCATTTCCTATGACACTTTTATCGGCTGAAAAATATCCGTCATAAATCTTACTTTTCGTAATAGATAATTTTCTTGTAGTGGCAATAACAATAATCAACAATTAGTAGCACTATTCGTAGTAGTAATCAATATTCTATCATATATTTATATATATGATGATATCTTTTATTTTGCTCATGTCTTTATAACTCCAGATTAGTTGTCTCTTATGACTCTTAATCAGTGCACTCCTTATAAATCCTCTTGAATCACGTGGATCAGTCACCCTAACTTTTTATAACTCATATCATGACTTTCCATCCCATCAGTGATTGAGTGTATTTTGAGATTATCACATGGGGATTATCATTTCATATATCTGATTTCAATCAAAATATCCTTTTCAATTAGATTCATGTCACATTCCAATACATTTAAGTCCTATCAATGGTTTTAACACCCATATACATGTTCTTAACTGATGAAAATATAAGAAAATTATATCATATTATTTAAAATGATCAAATCTATGACATATCAAAAGTTACATAATGAAAGCTCATGAAATTAGAAGATAATATATTTTAAATAGATTTAGGAGAGATATAATTTTTAAAAATCAAAATCATAAAAAATATAAGTAAGATGATAGTTACTTACAATGAATAGAATAATTTTTATAAAATAGAATGGTGAACAAAAATTACCCCAAAATATTTTTCTCTTCTCTTCTCTTTCCTCTTCTCCAACTTCATTCTTATCCTCCGGACCTCCTTTAGTTTCTTCCCGGGCAAGGCAAACAGTGAGGGAAGGATGTGGGTAATGATATATATATTTATAATAAAAAATATATAAAAATATTATTTGTGGCCTAGCAACGCAATGCTCCGACCCAATGCAATAACATTGCATACATAATTTAGAATTACTATAAAAATAGATACTCAAACATCGCAACAGTAATTATTGGCACTGTTGTGCTCTCAAATCTAGTCCCGCGGCACTCACAAGCACAGGGCCGAAGCGCTCTAGTTCAAACAGAAATACAAAACTTCATATTTTAAAATACTTTTTATTTTTTGGTTGTTATAATTAATTTCTTGGATCTACATATGATTTTTTTGGATCTACATATGATATTTATTAATTTAGAAAAATCATATGATAAAGTTCCAAGAGAAGTGCTATGGAGAGTTCTTGAAAAGAAAGGAGTTAATAATGCTTATATTCAAATCATTAAAGATATGTATGTAGGAGCTATTACTTGTGTTCAAACACAAGGTGGTTTGACCAAGTATTTCCCTATTTCGTGGGTTACATCAAGGATCAGCCTTAAGCCCATATCTTTTTGCTTTAGTCATGGGATGTTCTCACTAGACATTTGCAAGAGGATGTACCTTGTGTATGCTTTTTGCTGATGATATTCTTCTTGTTGATAAGACTAGAGAGGGTGTTGAAAGTAAACTTGAATTATGGAGGTCAATATTACAGACTAAAGGTTTTCGCTTGAGTAGATCTAAAATGGAATATATGGAGTGTAATTTTAGTAGTAATAGACCTAGTGAGGGGATTGTGACTTTGAAACGATCAAGTCATAATAAGAGTACACGTTTTAGATATCTTGGATATATTGTTCAAAGTGATGGTGAAATAGATGGGGATATTATCAACAGAATTCAAGTTGGATGTGTTGAAGTGGAGGAATGCATCGGGCTTGTTGTGTGATAGAAAAGTACCCCTCAAACTTAAGGAAAAATTCTATAAGATGGTAGTGAGGCCTGCAATGCTTTATGGTGTTGAATGTTGGCTATTAAAAGAGAAGCATAATACTAAGTTAAGTGTGGCAGAGATGAATGCTCGGTGGATGAGTGGCTTTACCCTATTAGAATAGGAATGAAAATGAGCATATACGTGAAAAGGTTGGAGTAGCTCCAGTAGAAGATAAGATTAGAGAGTCGCCTTAGATGGTTTGGTCACATAAAATGACGGCCCTTACAATGACCGGTTAGGAGATGTAGAGGTATTAGATTTGACTTATGTTAAGAAAGGTAGAGCCAACCTAAAAAGATTTTGTTAGAAAATATTAAGATGACATTTCTTATTAGATTTAAACGAGAATTTGACCTTTAATAGGACACAATGGAGAAAAAATGATTCATGTAGCTGACCCCACGTAGTGGGATAAAGGCTTGATGTTGTTTGTTGTTGTTGCATTATTAATTTCTTAGTAAAAATGCTAAAATGTTTTCTTGATGATGAATAAAAAAATAAAATGCACTTCATCTCATTTGATGTCAAATTTTTC